GTGAGTCTCTGAGGCCAGTCCGGTCTATATAGGAGTTCCAGTGAAGGCCAGACAGAGCTTCGTACAAAAAAAAAAAGAAAGAAAGAAAAGAAAATTCAATTGTCTTCATATATAGAGGTGTGTTTAAAATAAAAATGAGAGCCAGGTGTGGTGGCGCACACTTTAATCCCAGCACTCTGGAGGCAGAGGCAGGCAGATCTCTGTGAGTTCAAGGCCAGCCTGGTCTGTCTACATAGTGAGTTCCAGGACAGCTGGGGCTACAAGGAGACCCTGTCTCAAAAAGACCAAAAATAAATGAGGAGAAAAAAGAAAATTAATCTATGCTATACAACTGTCATGTGTAATTCCTGACACTCCATCCCCACAAAGGAAGCCTAGTCCCATGAGAGATCATCTTATTCCCTCCCCCATATCCAGGCATCCACTTCCTTTGGATTAGCCTGCTCTGGACATTTCCTGTTATGGAGTGCCACACTGTGTGGCCTTTTGTGTCTGGATTTCTCATTGAGCCTGATGGCCTCAGGGTCCCTCCATCCTGTGGGAGGTGTCAGACCTCACTCATTGCTGTATAATACTCCAGTGTGTGGCTGGACCATTCTGTGTGTTCATTTTTCCACCTGTAGATTCTGCTTTCCATCGTTTGGCTGACTCTTATCAATGAGATACCTATGAGCAAGGCAGCTGGTCCACTTTATTCCACACTGACCATACTGGGGAGTGGCCAGTCTGCTTGTCCCATATAAATCCACCCTTTTGTCTCTCTGGGGCATGGTAAACACTTCAGGTCAGAGACAGCAGAGATACAGGATTCACTGGGTGTCTCTCAAGCTCTCTAGAGAAAGAGAGCAACTGTCTTCTGATCAGATCACTTGGGCCTTAAAGCAGAAGGCGATAGGGAGAGGTCAGCTCCCATCCCACAGGGAGGAGCAGGCAGGGAGGATGGTGAGGGGCTAGTCTGGGGGCCCCAGAGTCTCTGAGGCTGGTGTCCCTGAGATCTAGGGTGAAGATATTTCCAAATGTGGGGTTGGGGAGGCCTTCCTAAGGTTACTGACTGAAGTAGGGACAGGAGGGGGCCTGGAAGCTCTGGAAAACTTACATTTCACTTGCTGAAATTTTTTTTTTTGAGACAGGGTCTCCCTGTAGCACCAGCTGGCCTGGAACTCACTATATAGACCAGGCTGGCCTCAAACTCACAAAGATCTGCATGCCTCTGCCTCCCAAGTGCTGGGATTAAAAGTGTGCACCACCATGCCCAGCGTTTTTTAATATTTTTTAAAAAATTTTATTTTTATTTTGTATATGAGTGTATTGCCTGCATGTATGAGTACACTCGTGTCATACAATGCCCCAAGGTCAGAAAAGGGCTTCGGATTCCCCTGGAACTGGAGTTAAGAATGGATCTCAGCTGCCATGTGGGTGCTGGGAATCGAACCTGGGTCCTCTGCAAGAGCAGTCAATGCTCTTAACTGCAGAGCTATCTCTCCAGCGCCAGAAATTTCTCTTTTTAAAACAAAGTTTTTATTACATTGATCTGTCTTGTGTGCCTGTGTGGGCAGGAGAGCTGCAGTGCATATGTGGAGATCAGAGAACAACTTTCTGGACTCAGTTCTCTCCTTCCACCAAAATCCTCAGGCTTGACCTCAAGTCCCTTTACCTACTGAGCCTACGTTCTTCAAACTTCTGTACTGACCCAAACCTAAAAGGTGGTGGGTGGCTGGAGGCCCAAGACTGGAGAGTGGGAGGCCTGGAATTTTCTGACCCTCCTTCACTCCTCATCCACCAGGCCCAGCCTCTCTGACCCAAACCTGAGCTCTGCCCTATAGAAATATGGTAAATGGGGGGAGGGGGTTGCCCAAACCCCTGCCCTATTGATTTTTATCAAGGCAGTAAATAAACATTAAAAAAAAATATTTACAGTTAACACTCAAGGCTGGGGAGTTGGCCTAGGCCTGTCATCTCTGCTCTGTGACAGGCTGAAGATGGTCTCAATGTCAAGGTCAGCTTGAGAGCAGAATTAGAAATCCCCCCAGTGAGGGGATGGGGGCATGGCTCAGGAGTAGAGTGACAGCCTAGAATCCCCCAGTGAGGGGCTGGGTGTGGTGTCCCAGGGTAGAATACTTGGCTAGCATATGGAGGCTCTGGGTTCTGACCCCAGCATGGCAAACAAACAAATACAAATTAAAACTATTTGCGACAACTATTTTCTGTTTGAGAGACTGGCCTTGTCTTCCCCCTCTATTTTGTCAAACAAGTAAACTGAGTCCTGGCCCTTCCTTCTATAGTCCTGAGAGTGTCTGGGCACTGGCTGACTCTGAGTGTCCCATGTCCCGGGCTTCACTGCAGTATCAGGATCACTTTCCAATGGTAACAAGCGAGCCACTGTGCCTGTTAGACAAGGGCCAGGTGAACCCTCCCCACTCCCCTCAATTATTGATGAAGACAGCAGCTGGTAAGGCTGGGGTGGGCGCCAGGCACATAGGAGACAAAGCCAAGCCTTCCAGGCTCGATAAATAAATGTAACAGCAGCCTGGGGCATCTTCCCTAACAGATGTTCTATGTAGAGAAGGGAGAACTGTATGACAGTGAGCCATGGGTCCCCCAAATACCAGCCCCACCTGAAGAGGACACCTGAGCTTCAGGTGACCATAACCTTGGGAGAAGGCTTCCCTAGGCCAGGCAGACAAGCCATCCCCAGCCTTCAGCAGCTTGAGTTGGCTTCCTGTGTCCCATGGTGGTGGTCTCTGAACAGATGTGTCTAGCCCCTGATCCCTGCAACAAATGAATGTGTCCTGAGCCTGGGTCTGAGACTATGCTGGGAGCTAGGGCCTAGCTGGGTGGGGGGGTGGGGCTGGGTCCTATCCCTTGCACCATAGTCTTAGATGCAATGAAGGGTGCTGACATGGTCTGAGATGATCCAAGTGGATCCTCATAAGAGCAAGGCAGACAGGAAGCCCTGTGAAGCAAGAAACACCAAGAAGGGGTGACTGGGCCACAAACCCCAGGACTCTTGCAGCTCCAGAGGCTGGGAACAGCAGGAAGGATGTTTCCTGGGCACAGCTGGGTCTGACTTTGGGGTTCCCAATGCACAGCTCACATCTGAGATATTACAAGCTAACCAGTGTGGGGTACTGGGTTACAGCAACCATACGAACCAACTGAAAAACAGTAGCCCAAGACACTGTGCATGTGAGGCCACACCTCCTGCCCCTCACTCGGGGATTATAGGCTGTTATTCTACCTGAGCCAAACCCCCAGCCCTCTTGAAATGTTTCTAATTTGTCATGCTGGCTGAGGCAGGAGGATCACTGCAAGCTAGAGGATAGCCTGAGCTATAAAATGTGTTTAGGACAAGCTAGGTTCCAGTGTTGAAAAACTGGCCTCTGCAGTGGGTGCTGGAACTGCAAAGGTTCTGTAGGTTTTTTTCAGAGCTCAGAGGCTGTTCTCAAGTAGGTTGGTACAAAGGCCCCAAGGCAGGACTGGAAGGAGAGAACTGGGCAGGTCCAGAATCTTCCAGAGGGAATGCTGAGCACAGAGGTCTGATAAGAAACCTGACAGGGAGTTGAAGGTAGACAAAGGCTCTGAGAAGTGGCTTTCAACACACTCCGATGGTGTAGACCCATGCTTGAAGGTGGCCTGTCTCCACCCTCGCTGGCAACCACCCATACCCATGCAGGTCGGCTGGGGAGGGTGGGGCCCATCCTTGGCACCAGCCACACAGGGAACAAAGATCAAGAGCGGGGCCTGCCTTAGGCCTGGTGGGAAACCCAGAGGGCTCAAATCCTACGCCTTGTTCCTGGGTTTCCAAAATTCACCCGGACGGTTTCTCATTAGCGGTTCCAGGGCTTCAAACTAGCCGCTTTGCAGGGTAGCTGGGGCCAGGAGAACCTCACTCCAGGCAGGGCCTCCGTGAAAATCGGCAGCCGCCCCTAATCCTGGCTAGAATCCTCTGGCACTAGGCCCGCGTCGGGGCTTCAAGGCTTCTGGGCCTCTGGCCAGGCCTGGAAGAAAGCAGGCCTGCTGCCAGGCCTCCCTGCTACCCCCAGCCCAGCCCTGATGAGAGTGAGGCTGGGTGCCCGCCTCACCTCCATGCAGAGGGGAAAAACCCACACCTCCCCCGTGCCTGGGCTCAGTTAACCGTCTGTTTTTCAGCAGAGGCAAGCAGACAAGAAACCGGATAACTTCCTTCGTCTTTGGGAACCCTGCCAGGAGTGACCAGTGCCTGGCCTCCTTCTGCCAACCCAGGGCTCTGGAAGGTCCCCGCCCCCCGGTCTCCTTTCCGGGGCCCTTCAGGCCTGGGCTGCAGAACCCTGGGTCTTAGGTTATCAATTTAGAGGTGGGAACCCAACAGGGTGGGATTCTGTTCCTCCAGTGGACTGTGCTCCAGTTTCCCTGTTTATAGACTATGAAACTGTGGCTAGGACCTCAGTTTCCCAACTGTATGGGTGCCGGCCACATTGTGGCCGAAACCCTCAGTTTCCCCATCTGCAAGGGTGAACCACCATCCCCTTTACCGCCCATAATCAACCCCATCATCAGTGTTGAGTCCCATTTGCAACCGGAGCCTGTTTCCCGATTCCAGTAACAGAGATAGGGACTTGGCTGCTCTGGGGCGGACAGAGGACGGAAAGGAATGACGCGGGACCAAGTCGCGGGCGACTTCCATTTCCCGGTTGTCTAGTCAGGAGAAAACTTCAATCCCAAGTTTTGGCCGTATGCCCAAAACCAAGATGGAGCGAGGTTGTTTTTGTGCCCGGTTCCAAGATGGCAGCGAACCTCGCGCTCTGCCCTCACGATGCATGCGGACAGCACAGCCCAGTCCCTGCCCGCTTGCAACATGGCGGCAACCGCGGGCAAGCACGCTTCTCCGCGCCCGACTCGCCACGTACCCACTCTCAAGATGGCTTCCCTCCCTAAGCCGCACGCCGGGCTAACGCTCGGTCAATGGCTCAGGCTTTCACGTGCTCCCACTCACTCCTCCCCTACCCCTCCCGTACAGGCAGTTTCCGTCTTCCGCCCTGATGGACAGCCATTGGGCCCAATAGCCGCTTGCTATCCGCTTAGGCTCCGAACTCAGAGTAGCGTCCAGGCCACTGGGAGGCGCAGGTTGGGAAGGACAGAGTTGGCCCCGCCTCCAGGCCGCAGCAGGAGCCAATGGGCAGTGCTCGCGGGGGACGTGTGCGGGCGTCTCCGCCATCTTGTGAGTCTATAACTCGCAGCCGTTGGGTTGGTTCCTGCTATTCCTGCGCCTCCACTCCGTCCCCCTCGGGTCTGCTCGGTGTGCCATGGACGGGTGAGTTGTACCGCGCCCCTCTCCGGCCGATTCCTGAGCGCTGGGGCCGAACTCCGGCCGCCGCTCGGGAGGTTCTGCCCCCCACCGCCGCCAACCCCGCCAACTGCCCCTGCGTGCGTGCGTGGCCTCCCCTCCGCGTGGCGCGCGCGGAACCCCGGGCATTTGAGGCGAGTCGGGAACCCGGTAGTTTTTGGGGGCTGTGCCCACAACTCGTTTCCCCCAGCCCCCTTGTACGGTGCACTTCCGGAGGTTGCGCGCCTCATTCTGAGCGACCCCGCGCCCAGTCCCAGTTGTTCGATGCGCAGGCGCCCCGGTGATGGCCCTTACCGCCTCCCGTTCGCTCGTCGACGCCCGCGTTAAGCTCTCCCGCGTGCCCGACCGACAGCCCTTCCCATGCCTGTGCGCGTGCGCAGCGCAGGCGCGCGTTCCATTGCGCGTGCGCGGGCCTTTCCTGAAGGCGCGTGCCTTTCCCGCCAGGCGGGATAAGTTCTTGAGGGCGTCGGGTGCCCCCGAATCCTGGGGCGGTCGGCGTTCGGGACAGCCCGGCTCGTCCCGCCCGTGTGCGCGGCGTCCTGGAAACCAGGACTCTGGATGCTTAGCTTTCCGCCGGCTATTTCCTAGATTTGGGGGTTTTCTGTTTTTTTTTTTTTTTTTAAGAAGGGGCTTACTGGGTAGTCCAGGCCCCCTGAAACTCCTGATCCCCCCAGTTCGTTTGCAAAATTTACTCAA